ACACCCTCATCTGCCCAAACATGGCCGTGAGCTTCGTTTCCTCAAAGGTATCATTTCCTTCTAATCTTCAGTTTATACCAGGAGCTGCTTAGAACTGTAGTGAAGTCGAAAAGTGAGAATTACTTCATTATTCGCTCTCTTTGAGCGACTGAGGGACTTGGAACGTAAACCGAAGAGTAGCAAAAGTTACTCACTGGCAAGGGGGTTGACGGTTCCTCTCTCGAGGGTTGTTTACAAACAAGCGAATGGCGAGTTGGAGTCCATAGAACATGACAGCACCAATTTACTGCCGAAACAAAATGAACAATTCATCGGGCAATTGTTTTTCTATTGCTGAATAATTGTTAGATATATGACGAGAAATACTAAGAAAGCCGCCAATTAAACGGTTTGATCCAATTGACACGCACGCGATCGAAGCCTAGTAAATGAACGCCACAAGTAAATAACTGAAAAAACTGTTAGACTACTAGTTGCATCGGCAAAGCTGATGAATGAGAATACACAAGTACGCAAACATATTATAATTCAGCGGATTCTGACGATGCTGCTGCTGCTGCTACTGGCACTGCTTCATGTTTCTCATCAATGCGCACCAGCCAGAGATGCTCCGCGGAATCCGTTTCTTTTTGACAGCAAAGTTCTGAGTCCCTTCGGTGAGCTTAAAAAATTTCATTACTTATTTATTATTTATTTTTATATGCCTTATTTATGCAAAAAAAAAAACATAATAGCCAGAGCATGCCCGTCCACGTAAGTCAAGTATTAAACAGTTTTCCTACTTCATCATCTCTTCCAATTTTAATCAATTGCAGAAGACGGTTTAAAGATGTTGCTAAACACGAGGGGAAGAGATGAGGCTAGCAAAAATACCACCACAGTACCGGAGTCGATCCTAAACTCAAGCGGATTCAATTTCACCATTTCGGGGATCGGCGAAGGAGCGAGTGCTACGGATGTTGCCGGTATGGAAAGGAGAGGCAAAAACGATACTAGAAAATGTCTCAACGATGTCGTTAGTTACTCTGTTGCATTTCCTCCTCATTTGGGTCTATTTGCTTGAAAATTCAAAAGTCACTTTAAGACCCTCTTTATAGTTCAGTAAGCGGATAAATGCATTTAAAATTGAATCAAGTGGTGTCACTGTGCCAACATCAGGCGTCTTTAAATAAAGTGTTAGATAATCCCTCTTGTACTGCTTTTGTAGAAAACCGAAGACGGGTTTTGACACCAGGGAATGAGTCAACACCAATTTGCTATTGATTATGCGTTTTTGCATATATGCAAATACGAAAACGCATATTGCAACTTCTCCGGTGTGTGTGTGTGTATGTGTGTGTGTGCTCGTTAGTCCGGGTATTTCAACTCGACACCCAAGCGAGCTCCGGCGTCAAAATTTTTGTCGGTGGGTTCCCCAGCCAAGTGCCATCTCAGGACCGCAGTACCAACGTCCACGCAAGTCTGAGCCTCGCGTACAAGGAGGCTAAAGTTTTGGCGGGAAAATCGCTAGCTCAGGAACAGAAAAGGTAGAAGACTGAAGTTTTGAGGTTATGTTCCCCGTCCATACGGAACTCGAAGATTTCATATTTAGCCCCCAGGTGTGTGGGCGCCGTGAGGATTTGGGGTGCGAAAATCGCTAACTTGGGAACCAGGGCTGAAATTTTCAGGGAATGTTCCCAGCGCATATACAACCTAAAGTCATCGAATTCAGACCCAGGCATGAGTAGTTCTCACGTACGGCTCCGTGAAATTTTTTGGCGGGAAAATGACTAACTCGCGAACCAGAAAAGCTGAGGGCTAAAATTTTAAGGGTGTGTTCCCAGTTCCCGTGAAAGTTAAAGTTATCAAATTCAACTCCCAGGCACGTGTGGTTCTCATGTACGAACCCATGAAATTTTCTGCAGGAAAATTGCTAACTGTAGAGCGGGAGAAGTTGGAAAGCTGAAATTTTAACGGAATGTTCCCTGTCCAAGTACCGCGGAATGTTCCCTGTCCAACTTCGAGGACGAGTATGTCGCAAATCCTAGCTACCAAGTTTTCGAGCGATCTCATTACAGCACGAAAGACTGCTAAAACGCATTGTCGCGCAGGCCTGCCCGGTGCGCGTCGCCAATGATTTTTTCTTACCTACATATTCGAACCACTGAAACTTTTTTGACAACAGAGCTGTTTATTAGATTCCAAAGGTACGTGTCCCAGTGTACTCCTCTCAGCTCTCATTCCACGCTTCTGGGACTCTCTCGTTTCCGGATGTTCACGCTTTGATGCACCCCTCAGTCAGTACAGCCAGCATAAAATCAAAAATTTCTTTTCTTAAACACGCCATTTTTGGCATATTTTGGGTAATTTGATAAAATTTTGGGTAATACAATAAAAAATATAACTTTTTTGAATTTTTAATCGATATTTGGAGCTCTAAATGAAGGCTGGATGCTTAGTGTAGTGATATGAGGTGTATGGGCTTAAGCCGGTAACAACAGTAACAGATTCCTATAATAACTGTTTGAACAATGATCTTGGCTGATAAATATGCTGATGGTGAAGCAGGTAAACGAAAAAAGTCAAAATATACATGGTTTTTTGTGTTGTGCAGGCTTCGAAGCCAAATGTCATTTCATAACAAAAGGTAGCCTGGACTCATCCAAAATGGCTACATAACATGTTTCAGTGATTGAGGATCATCACTGCAGCTACTTTTCACATTTCTTATTTTTCGCTTCTTCCTCAAA